CTCTGTGTATTTGAGTTTCGACACTCTTTTTTACTCGAAGAACTCACGTGAATGCAACGGGGTAGCTTGTTAAGATATTTTGTTTGTGTTTTATTCAGTTTTTCTTTCACGATTTTGTTCGTGTTTTCAGGTTGTTGTTTGGGCTTTTCTCGGGTTTCTTTTCTTGTTTTCGTTCTTGCAAAGTGTTTGCAAAGTGTTTCGTATACGAAAGATCCGAGATTACAGCATAGGCTTCTCAGTTTGAGCTATCTGTAGATTCCTCTTGTCTTGAGAGAAGGTCGTCGGTTTTGAAACGGGGATTTGACAAGACTGTCAATTCGTTGCGCATACGGCAAGAAAACATCGAGGAAGATATGTTATGCATGCAGTGATTGAAATAAGAGGGCACATGAAAGATCTTTGGCGGCTGGGCGATGTATTTTCACGATCGGAATACGTGATATTCAAGTGAAGAATAAGTGAACAAAGGTGCGAGTTTGTTAGCCGACATCCACAACTGTATGAGGGAAAGGGTGCGGTAGACCTCAAATGAGTCTCCGCTTGCGTATTATGTTCAAGTATAAATCAAGTACACTGACAGCGAGCTCTATCTTGGTTGGCACCCTGTGTGAGATATTCTTCGTTTTTGTCTCGGACTTCTACAAACGATCCAAATCTGCAGGTGTTTTGGAAGTTAATGGCTGTACGAACTCATAGTCTTTGTAATCGGGTTAGTGATGGTTTCGGTGGTAGATTATGATTTCTTACTTGATTTTGTTCTCTGGCCGAATTGAAGACTTGCGGAGTTTCGTCTTCATCACTCGTTTTACGATCTCCGAGACTTCAGACTCAAGCCACATTCAGAAAGAGCTTGACACTAGGGAGAATTCTAGTTGACAGTCCGGTAGAAGAAAGGGGTGTTAAGGAAACTGCGTCGAAGGAAGAACAAGATAGGAAGGCTACTTTTTCGCTTTTAAGAGAAGCGTTCATGTCCACACTACTAAGGATGGGAGAACCGAAGAAGTAGCTTGAGCGTGTCTTCGAATGGGAGAATGTAATCAGCATTTTGACATCTTCGATACCAGAAGCCTTGGCGGAGTACAATCGGGAGTACCCCTTGGGAACTACTCGTAAATGTGCGAAGGGATTGCATGCTTCTGCCCGTACAGAACTTATTGTCAAGGTGTGCATGAATTAGAGTTTTTTTTGAAGGGGCTGGTTCACAGGATGCGTCAGCGCTTAGGTGAAGCCCTTGCAGGGTGAGACAGGATATATGAACATATCTGCTCGCAGATCTGATTACTTTCTGTTGGATCAAAGTGAAGCTTCGTATTTTCTAATTTCAGAGCTACAAGAGACATATTTTGAAGAGAAGACAGACAAAGAGAGTGCGTTGTGTTGATCGAAAGGCTGCACCATGCATGTGCTGCTTTTGATCTTTGAATATAGTGTGATAGATCTTGAACACTGATCCAGAAGTAAGAATTGCTTCTACTCGAGAGGTCGAGACTTTTGCCATGGCGGAATAGGAGAGCTCGGCAAACCCGAGGTTCACAAGGAGGGTGGCTACAGGGTTTAGGACCAAGCCGGACCTATGAGGAGTAGATTATCAGAGCACGTGTGCTTTGTTGTTTTGTTCTACGATCGAAGATATTTGAGAGACACCTTAAGAGTTCTTTTGATTTAGCAATTTGCACCACCACCCGTGGGCATTACGGTATTTCAAATTTTTTAAATACCCAATAAGCTTTCTAATTTTTTTATATATAAATATTTATATAAAAAAAAGAAAAAAGAAGAAGAAGAAGAGAATGATATAAATATATATATATATATATATATATAAGAAGAGAAAATTAGAGTATTCGAAAGAGACTAAGAACATGCACTTGCTCTCACTATATGATTTTTCAGTTGTACAATGCCTTCACATTGTACTTCTAGCTATATGACGTGGTGAACATTATACTAGAGTTTTAGTGTTTTGTGTCTGTGTTGGTTGAAGTGGTGGAAGTATACATTTCATCCGTATACCTTTTCTTCTGGGGAACGAGTAGATTAGGCGGACGTTTTAGATTCCTTACTCTAGTAGAAGGGGAGAAGTGAGTTGTCAGACGAGACAGTTTGGCGGAGATATCTTCTTGGCGACGCGATGCAAAAGATAGCGTTGGTGACAGAAGGTGGCCGGGGGCGATGGAGCTCGACTTGAGATCGCGATGCGATGCGAGTCGAGTGCTCGTGTGTTGTGTTGTTCTGTGTTGTGTTTCATTTAGACTGGAGAGTCGTTGCCAGCTGTTTGCTTGTGTTTGGATCCTCTCCAATCTGGCTTCTTGATGCGCGCCCATGTCTGGGGTGATGTTGGTTGTTGGAGTAGTTTTACTCCTGTGTGTTGTCCATAGTGAGGCTGGATTTGATCACCGGCGCCTATCTTTGACTTTCTCATGGTGAGACTGGAGTGATGACCAGTGGACCGTGAGAATCTTCTTGCGGTGATGACAGGTTAGGTTGGCCATACCCATAGTCAGTAGGGTTAGAGCAGGTTAGTGTGGGGACGAGGGCAAGTGGAGTTGTGGCAGTGGTGCCGGTTGGTGAGTTAGTCATCACGGAGGAGTTTGGTGGTTCCGTTGAGGATCGTGGAGGATTTACGCGGAGTGGGTTGAGGTATCGGCTACCTCATCCTAGCGCAGCAGTGGTTGCAGAGGCGCGGGGTGTGGCAGATAGCGGATCTTTGGTGGTGATATCATCTAGTGTATCACACTCGTTGACTGAGGACATGGACGGGATATACGGGGCCATGAAGGAACCACGGCGGTACTCTGGTGCAGTGGGCACCATTGAGTTGGATGATTTCATCCAGGAGTTTGACACGTGGTGCGATATGCAATTCTTGCGTAACCTCACGTTGTTTACACGCTTGTTTGCATGGAAGGGGTTGTTTCAGCATCTAGAGGGGTCCCCCATGGAGGACTATCATGAGTTTGGAAGAGAGTATGCTATGGAGATTGACGCATGGAGGCGTCATTGGTCTCCAAACTACATGTCTATTACACAGAGTGATGTTGGTACCAAGGGAGGTGCGAGTGGTAGCATCATCGAGGGTACAAGTGGAGTAGCTGGGGCAGGTACCAGCAGCGGTGCTGTTAGCGTTGCCAGTAGCAGCATGAGTGGAGAGGCTACTGGCGTTCCTTCGTTCAGCTCCATTCTTGAGTTCTTCAAGAGGTTGAGGAAGAACTATCAGGGGGTGAGGACGAAGAAGTTGAGGAGTCTCCAGGAGTTTGAGCGGAAGACTGGTGAGATTCTTCGGGAGTCATACACTCGTATGCGGCGATTGATCTTAGTTACTCATGGTGTAACTAAGGCACAGGCGGTCCAGTATTGGTACAGGATACTGGACAGAGAGCTACGGCGGAGGGTTCAAGATGCTACCCTCTTGAGCGATGCGTCACCGACATTGGCCTAGGTGTTTGCTCTTTCTGAGAAGATTGAGCTTAACATAGTGGAGAAGAGAGTGGTGACATCTTCATTCGCTAGAAACACGACCACTACCCCTCGTGTCTCGCAGAGCATGGCAAAGTCTAGACCCTTTGATGGTGGTAGTGGTGGGGGTCGCGGAGCGCAAACACAACATCAGACGGCCGCTAGAGATACAAGAGCACGTGCACCAGTGCCGTCGTTTGCAGGTCAGCAGCAGGGACCAGCATGTTGGACATGTGGAGGGTATCATCTGCGGAGAGATTGTACCCAGGAGGCCGGAGGTCGGAGTTCACAGGCCAGACCCCAGTCAGCAAAGGTGGTGTGTGACCACTGTGGTCGGGCAGGTCATACTCAAGATCGGTTTTTTGACCTTTATCCAGAGTTGACATCTGGTGGTAAAGATCGTGGTGGTGATGCTTCCCGAGGCCGAGGTGTCCGTGCTGGTAGAGGTGGTCGAGGTGCCGGTGTAGTTGGACGCACTGCAGCGAGTGCTACTTTGGCCACAGAGAGCTCGATGGCTGCCCGGATTGAGCAGTTGGAGCAGAGGCTAGCTACTATGGCGAGTTCTGGGGCGAGCACTTCCACTTCTAACGAGGAAGAGTATTTCTCCTATTTGGCGAGTGTCGTGCAGGTGGAGGCATCGGTTGTAGTGACCAGAGGTATTGCGCGCGCTTCAGAGCCACGTGGGGGGACCGTGGAGTTGGACTCTCAGAGGTGTGAGGATGGACGACAGGCCAGACTTTCTCAGTCATTTTTGTTGTCGGAGTTTGTGATAGCTTTGTGTGTGGACACTCTTGTTCCTTGTGTATATGTGTGAGTTGTGAGTAGAGCATGTCAGCGATGTATGATGTATGGCGATAACGAGTAGCACGACAAATGACATCTGAAAATAACAAAGACACGGTGACTAAATTATAATACACAATAAATTCTAAAAAAAAATTGATACTTTACTAGATCAATTATTTGCCACTCTCTCACCAACATGCGCAATTTTGAGTCACTACCTCCACATTTCTCAATCTAATGCATAAGCCCAAAGACATGTAATTATTACACATTCCCATAAATTCACACGGTCGAGGAGAATGAAAACTCATCCAATTTGAAAGTACGTTGCTTTTGAAAAAATCAACCACATAGAATAGGAGATTTTCAACCTTCCGACTCCTCCTTGTGGTGAAATTAGAAATGGTCATGTTACATCACAAATATCATGTCGATAGATAGAAAGTCTTTTGTGAGAAGGTGTAATTTGCAAGCATAGGTTAAGAAATATTGGGAGCACATCCATGCTGTTGGGGTTCCGTTTCATCCACGGAGTACTTACTTGAAGTTGCGTAACTCCATCATATCTTCACAATGTTATCACCTATACCATTTTTGCTAAATTTTGAACTCAAATATTGATAATGTCATTACTCACCAATTCAACTTTGCTTCAATGATGGATAAATCTTTTCGAATTTCAACTTCCCCTGCTCGTCGCTATTTTGCTTTGTCGTGGGGCCATGGGAGCTTATAGATCGAGGCCAGTATGGCCGACGCTATGTTTCAGCCAATAACGAAAGAATCGCTACGTTTCGCAGTGCTGACATTTCTGACGGGATGGAGAAGGTTCTGCGACGAGAGATCAGTCGCGCACTCTCGTCGCCGCTGACAGTTTTGGGGGCATGTGGAGTGCATGCGCAGAGTTGCGAGAGGTGAGCTGATTCGATCCAGCTTCGTCCCGACAGGTTCGTCGGTCGATCGATCGATCGATCGAAGTAGCAGTGGATCTGCTCAATAGCAATTCCACGCCCTGGAGTTGTCCGATCTCGGATTGTGCAGGTGCGTGATTCGGCTATGAGGTCCAACACGTACCGGTGAACATCAGAACGGAGAGCCAGGGGAGGAGAGAGCAGCAGCTGGAAGCGGACGGCGATGGCTCCGCCGCTGTGGACTTCTACGGCAGGAAGAGAGGACGATGGGAACCACGTCGAGGCGGACGCTGACATTGTGTATCATCCGATTAGGGCTGAGGGAGCGAGCAATCGTCCTGAAGAATCTCAATATGGGTCAGCCGCTGTGAGTGGTGTCGCCAATGGACATCATGAGAACGGGTCGGCGATGGTTGCTGGAGGGAGCTTAAGCAATGGGCGGAGGCCACAGGAAAGGATCGTGACTGTGAATGGCATGGAGTTCCATGTCTATGGCAATGCGAGTGGTTTGGAGCTTTTGTCGCTGTCAGATCGTGAAGAGCCATTGAATTTACCGGACAGTGATGAAGAGGAGGAAGAAGAGCGCCGGAGAGTCGAGGCTGAGCGAGCGATTTTCGAAGCCAATCAAGCTCATGAAGCAAGACGAGCTGCTCCTCTTCCTGAGGAGCATCGGACCAGAATACTCAATGCTATGAAAGCAATTGATTTGGGAGGCTTTCGCCCTTCCTGGGCTGATTCCATTCCCGAGGATCAATGGCTTAACAAATTCACTAGTAAAGGAAGTTCTAGCACCTCCTGAATAGAAGATTATCAAGCACTTTACACTCGAACCTTGTTCCTGAAACTCTATGTTTCCTCTTAGCATATCGAGCACCTGCTCCTGAAAACCCTATGACGGGTTGCAGCCCGTGCAGGAAATACGCAATGAGTCTACAGTCTTAATTATGCGCAATGCCACAAGAGTTTAGCGATCAATACATTGCAACTCAATTCCATGCGAGGGGAATAGTCCAAGACGCAGAACCGAGTAACCTGAAGCTTGGAGATGCTTTTCCGCTACATGTTTATTTCAAATTCAGGCATTGCAATATTTTTTGGTGTATATCAACTTCTCTTCTGTATGTCCTGTCTACTATTCTTGCCTAAGAAATCAAAGCGTGTTTCGCAATTGGAACTTGATGTTTCTGATATTTAGTCAGATACAGCAGGTTTTTCTACAGCACCGATCTCAATCATCTTCAAGTTTTACAGATTGTTTACCTGCCTGTGTAAGCCGAACATATCGTTGTTACGGTCAATTTCATTAATCCAAGAAGACTTTCATTTCGTTTCGAGAGGGTAAGAAGAGGCATGGTTTCTGAGACTTTTTTGACGGGAACACGACCTATTCTTAAATTAGGGCAGATTGTGAACTCCAGTAGTTCAGTCAGTATCTCATTTGGGTTTCCAAGAATGTGATAATCAGCAGTTTTAGATGATTATGTGTTCAGCTGTCTGCCCACAACATTCTCCTCTCTCATCTTCCACCTTAACCTGAATTTTGCTTCTTCCGTTAAAATGGAATGATAGTCCGCGTTATTGCTTGAAAATTAAAATCAGTAACAATCCACCGCATAGAGTTCTATCACAAGCTGTGGATGGTGTGACCGTAATGAATATGAAGTTCACATCGCTATGAGCTACTTAAGTGACATCAGGATTAAACATGTGCCTTTTCTGACGTGTGAGTGAGAGAAGCGCATCCTGTCCGTGAGTACGAGTATTCACTGGTCCTTGATGCTTTAGTTACCATGTTACTTCATGTTCTTCTCTCTTTTCTTTACTTCTAAAAGGTTTCATGGACTCTCAATCAGCTTCCTTTTCAGCCCAAGATTATGTGAACATCCCACCCTGAAATCACATGCAATCCAAAACGATTATGTTTTACAACAAATACATACATGTACTGAACATGAGAGAATATATCTCGGCTTCTCAGGTTCCCTCCATCCAAGGGTTCACATCTCGAGCTTTTGTCAGCATGCAAACACTCACCACTTTATCCCAATAAACTAGGTTCCAATAAGTTCGGAACGTCAGAAATCATCAATGTGCACATTGATTGTCTACAGCCTTTGCCTTTATATGCTCCTTGAGACAATCCTAAGGTACAGTAAAAACAGGAAGACTACCCTTTCTTTATCAACAAAGTCCATTACCTTCTGCCTCCTACTTGCAACCGTGTTTGTGGTTCTGTGCTATAATGGAATTGGTCCTTCTGCAGAATCTGAAAAGCAAAAAAATATTTATTTCTGTCGCAGACTAATAAACCAATACATGGCTATAAAAATCATTTATACACCTGTAGCTCGTTTTTCCAGCTCAGAAATTATTCACACTATTTCGGAGAGTAAAAAGAGCACCCAAAAAACTCCGATGCCATAAGGGAAGAAAAGGTATAGAATATGATCACCTTAATATGTCCAGCAGTAGGCGATAAGGTCGGTGGATAGTTGAAAAATCCAAACACTCGTAGCAGCCAAACTTTTCGCAGGAAGGCCCAGGCCTTTCCACTACCGACCAGATGGATGCGGCACGATGGAGTTGGTAAGAAGAGGTCCTGATTCTCGAAATCTGGATCTGCTCCTGCCTTCCCTTAGCTCTACGGGTGCAGACAACACCCTGGAAATGTTGCAGCCATCGCCATGTTCAGGGCATTCTTATCCTGCAGTCATCTCCAATATTTTAGTCATGTTCGAACTTAAAATCACGGCCTCAACTTGAAAGGGCTATGGCCACTGCTTCCTGCCTTCCAAGAATACAGAGACGATACTGCATTGTAGATGCTTGCAGCAATGAAGTCTTGACTTCTGCTAGGTTTTTCATAAGGTTAGTAATAAGGCATTTACTGAAGACCATCCATGTACTTACCTCAAAGCCAGTACGTTTATGAGAAGAATTCCTGGCAGGCGTGCTGTCTAAACACCTAAATTCGTAGCACAGTTTCGAACTTTGGGTCCGAAATCAGGTCGTCTGATGATTGGTTGTAGTATCTGTTGCCGAACGAAGTGATACCTGAGTAGCTCAACATGACAACAATAGATGAGTGAAGAACGGATCTAAAATCTGATCTTGCAGGTTGATATCATGATCAATAAGCGACAAGATCTGATCTTGCATCGACATTTGATTCATTCTTTGAAGATAAATCTCTCAGCACCGAGATCACCTTTCTCGTTTCAGAGTTAAGGTAGGTACCTTGCTTTGGCTTGCAGGAGGAAGGATTTTAGTTTCATACATTCCTATTTTCAAGCCCCGTGTGCCAGGGTTGTAACTAGCTATTTAACCAGGCAATGGGCATAAGAAATCACTCGTTTTTACAGAACAAGGGTTTGCTGGTGAAAAAGTGAAGATTAACCCTTTTGTAACTAGTGTGCAGACAGGAATGGAGTATGCAATAGCAGCAAGAGTGAAAAACAATGACCTTATCTCCATTGGAATGAAATGACTTGAACTGAGCTGGAGGAGTCTGCCATAGTTTCGGTGGTGCATTAAGTAAGAGCAAATCAAAGATATAAAGTATCATTGGTTTCCTCAAAGTGAACTCACTTCACATACAAAATGTAAAGACACGAGCTTAATTCATTTCAAAGAGAGTGAGTCACTACGCTGTCAGAAAAGAAAAAAAAACGTGAATAATGCCCTCTGCACAGTAAAGCGTCATTCCTGTTGCTCTGGGCCAAAATACTCAATAAACTGCAATAAACTCTGAAAAAAATTCTCCATGTTAATACTCACTTCTTGCTCCGGTGTAAGTCTCTTTGCCTCCGGGTTTGTTCCCGTTGAGAACCGGTACCTACAAACAGACAAGAAGAATTATAAGGTAGCTCGTTTTCCTCGTTCTGCTTATCATTATATTTGACTAGACTAGGCAGATCAAATCGAATCAAATCAGTTTAGTGATTCTCGATCTAGGTACTGAAGAATTGTACGTAGTGGGGTTTGTACCTGGGGATCGTCGCAGTTCATTTCAGATCCAGTACCTGCAAATATACGAAAACAGAAGCGAAGCGTGGTTTCCTCCTCTGCGTGCTCTTGTATTTGACGGTGATAGGCCAGCCGATGCTCAACTTCTTATTATCCTTGGTTTATCCTTCGGTTTTCGTCACAGTCGGTATGAGATCCAGTGCTAACATAACATACAAGAGCAACGTAAGAGTTATATAGAGACAAGTGAACCTCGAGGTCGTTTTTCTCGTTTCTTTATCCGTGCTAATGACGAGAAGGAGCCAATCGATCTGGTTGACTTCGAAGCATGAGACAATTCTCTACTGAGTAACTAACTGGTCAAAGCTCGATTGACATCAAAATAGCCTTCTCAAAATATGAGCCAAGGACAATCCCTCATGAGCAACAAGTTGTACTTACTGCAGTTCACTTACGTGTGATTGTTGGATAATTTGCACCTTGACTGCAATAATTTGCAGATCCTGCTTCATCTACGGCTGAAATATCAGACACAACAACCAGTCTGATATTATACGATGATCATTTTCGAATGTTGGATACTGTATAGTGAGCATGCGGAAGAGTAAGAGTGTTCACCATGTATATGGACGTATGATCCGACCACTCTGTGAGTGAACTGGTCGCTTTCAAGTTGACTCATGGACATAAAAATGTGTACGTCCCCTGCTGAAAAGAATATATGTTATCTGCACAGTTCTTACCTATTTATTTATGCCACCAATGAGTGATGGGTTGACGGAGCACATATATATGTCGCCAACTTACCCAGCAGTAAATCCTACGAAGCGAGTCTTCATGTTGCAAAAGCAAAACAAGAAAGATATATCAGTATATCAGTCGACATGAAGCTCTTGGAGAAGTTGAAGTATCTGCTGAGCAAACACCGTTGACTTCGTTTGTTCCATCGCCGCGCTTTAGTAGATCACCAGATTGAGAATGAAGACCTGGACCCGACGTATTCTTGTTTCCTTTTGACGAAATCGATCACGTGCTTGTCGTGAAAACTGCCTAGCCAAGCTGGACCTGAACTCAGATGAATCCTTCGTGTGTAAACCCGAAAGCTAGGTTCCAACTTCGAAGCAATCTATGATCCTGGAACCCATGGCTGATCCACCACCTGCCAGCCAACACACCTGCAAGCTATGCACGAGCAGAAGAGGAAATCGTGATCCTAATGCAGAGCTTACGAAGACGACCACTAAAATCTGGAAGCAGATGCTGAGCAGGCGACTTGGTCAGATGGGTGAGTGATTAAAAATTGATGAGTGCACGTGCTAGCTCGTGATAAAATCTTCAACTCACCTGAATAGGCTAATGCGAATCAGAATCACAATACAACAAAACGCTTGGACCCTTCGAACCCCGAGATTCACTCCCTCCGCTTCGAGAAATATAGAACTCGCCCTGGACCTACAGGGATGCGCACCAACCACACCAGAGTGAAGCTCACTCCAAGACCAAACGTAAAGAGACTCCGAGACAGCGAGACTGACACACACACATACACACAGCAGAGCAGCAGCAGCAGCTATCAAGACAATCAGATTCAGTGTGCGTGATATTTTCGCCCCAAGGGTTCTCATCTCCTGCCAGTTCTGAATCACCGCATGCACGGGTCCCGTCGATACATGAGAGGCAAGCCACAATACAGCAGCAGCAGCAGCAGTCGCAGCTGCCTCGTACAAGTTCACTCCTGGGCTTCACTCTCCCCGGAGAGTGAAATGGGGGGGAAACCGATGGACAAAGCAGCGGACACAGGGAATATTTTCTGAACAATTCCTTAGTTCCGCAGTATATAATGACACACCCACTCTGGCTACTGCGGACTACTGGTGCCGCTGTGCATCTCTCTCGCGAGCGTTATCCTCCATATCCATCAACGAGCCAGTGCCAGCACATCCTCGACGAACACGAATGCTCTCGGACTGGGCCTTTCATCACCTCAATTTCATCCCTTCAGCTGATTGAGAATGGGGAACGCTTCTGTAGTGTGCTCCCAGAGCGAGTCGCTCCACCTCAACTATATATTGGTGATTAATTTTTTCTTTCTGAGAGATCCAACGAGGGATCGATGTAGCGGGATATCCTCCTCTTCTGCCGTGAGAAATGGGAGGAAATTGCTGCACTGTAATTCAATCTGAATCTCCATACCCCCGAATCAGGGAACTGCTTCAAGCGTGTACTTGAGAAACGCAGCTATTGATTGCTGCACGGACGCAGTTGCAGCGATCTCGTGTACATATTTGACCACGAGGAGGTCTCTTCTAGTGCAGTAGCATCAGGATTAGGCCCGTTGTGATGGGAGCTTTTCATCAGCAGTTGTAAGAGCAATCAGATGGCAATGCATGCCCTGAATCCAGCTCAGTGACAGACCCGAACGAGAGGTCAGTGGAATTATAGAGGACGACAGGTCAGACCAGGCTAAAATGACAAATGGATGGACATGAAATTATCTGGTGTGTATGTGTAAAGTTTGGGCTCCTGCTTCTGTCATGAGGGCGCTTGCCTGACGTGAAAACTGCCTATACTGATCTCATTCATACATAACTGCAATGTACTGATAGTGATGAGAGATTGACTCATTGAAATTAGGCCAGGAAACGCGTCCAACATGCGGGACCGAGACTACTGGGGAATAACTTGTCTCTCAAATATTGTGCAGTGGTTTTCCATTCCTCTTCAGCAATATTTGGTATAACCTGTCAGCCAAAAAACCAGTTGAACCCTGTTCGACGAGAATGCTGATTTTTCAGTCGTGCTTTACGACCGAGTGCAGTTTATGGCTAGCATCTTGTATTTGTTTGAAGGGCGTACCATTCACCTCTTCGTAGAAGACGTGAAGTAGGAAAATAGATCTACACCGCTGCTCTCTCGGTTAGAATTGTCAAGCTGATGGAGAGTACGGCTTGAGAGAAGTATGGAGGCTCATTTGGGGTCTACAAGCAAGTGAGGTTACGGGAGGAACAGAATCTCGTTCATGGTATATCTCTGAGTGGAGAATCAAGTCTCGCTTTGACTTGGGACGACTGGCGCATATATATCAAATGTAACTGTTGCTAGCAGCTCAGTGATCTGAAAGCAGCTCTGGCAACCTGGAATTAAGGTTACAAAGCTTCTCATCTCGGGTAGTGTACAGCAATAGATTCCAAGTTCTGTAAACACTGCGCATTTTTTAAATACGTAGCTCTCGTCTTCTCTAGTTCCGCTCGGCTTTGCCACCACGGCAACTGGCCGACTTATACGATGCAGCCGGTTGAAGATCGGTTGTTTTCCTCACAAGCTCGTCCAATCGAGGTTAGTTTCTGTCTCTGCCCTGATGGGAGACCCGTAAGGTGAAGGATGTTTTAAACCGTACCTCATTTAATTTACTAGAATTCTTGGTGAATACACAGGCCGAACCAACAGATCCGCATTTGTTGGTGACGATTGCGGTGCAGGTTCAGCAGAATATGAGAATAGAGAGAATGTCAAGACGATAGAGCGTGGCCTGAGGCTTCACATTCTACGCAGTAGCTCAGAAGAAGTTCTGGAACCACCAAGCTCATCTGTCTAATTCTTTTCAATTACTAGTTCAGATCTGAAGATTGCCTCTCAAGAGGCTCAGTAAGTACATATTTATCAAGTGCAAGGGTTTCAGTGCAGTCCTCACGGAGGACTGATAATTACAGGCGTGGGCAGACCAGCAGCTTTTACCATTTAGTTTTTTCTCCTATAGGGTCATAAGACATGTATTGACATGTGAAGGACAAGAGTCACGTGTGCACGAAAGAGTCCACACTCATCTCGCCTCCAGATTGCAAGCTCTGATAATTCTATCCACTTCACTACCCGAGATGCGGGGATCGTTGAATGCGAGTCCAGCTCTGCTACACGGTAATGTCATGTGGCAGATGGACCCTGAGGGATTGTTACTAGTCGAAGAATTTCGATCCATGTGAACCGACCCAATTCAGAGATGAGAATATCTACAGCCCATGCCCGAGCCCAGTGTGATCGATGTTTGCCCCGGACACATCCGCCAGCCGATTGGGGAGTTTGCATCTCGCCAAAACTGCGGCTGGGGAAGGAAGGCGGGGCAAGCACGGACGGTCGGTCGGTCGGCATGGGGGGGTGACGAATGAATGAATTGAATGAGGGGATGAGCATTCGGCGGGAGGGGAGGGGAGGGGAGGATTGGCCTGTGAGAGTCATATCACCTCTGCGGTTGGTGACTGGAGTGTTTGGTGTAAACGATGATGTAGGAAGGAAGGATGGCCCTGGAGTTGTAAACGACCACCTCGTCGTAGTTGAGGTTCACTCCCGGCTCACCCCAGACAGAGTCAAAGCCCTGAGGGGGGCTCGTGAGGCCCAGATAGTTGGTCTTGGTGCGGTATTGTTTGCCCGTCAGAACCTTGCAGACGAACACGGCTCGACGCTCGGAAGCAGCAGGAATGTAGTCATCGCTCTTGCCGCTGGTGGGAGTGGTGTAGATGCCGCGGCCATAGCGCTGCCATTTGTTGGTGGCGGCCTTGGCCAGCTTGAACCCGCGGCGAAGAATGCTGCACATGTTGCAGTTGTTGAGGTTGCAGAGCTTGGCACCCTGCGACGGACTCCCGAGCTCACATGCCAGACTTGTGCCGTGGAACAGCTGATGCTCGTTGCCCAGAATGTCGCCCTGCCCTCGGCTGTTGGCCTCGATCTCGCTCCTGTACTTGGCATACCTCGCTGCTCTCCACGCAGAGTTGTATATCTTGAACACCGACTGCACCGTTATGTCCACAGTCGTGCCCTTCTTCCATTGATTGAAGAACTTCCTCTCCACGCTGATCCTCCTCTTCTCCGTCGGCGGCAGCTGGATCACTGTCCACAAACCATTCACATTCACACACTGTCCATCAAATCTCTCAGAACGAACGAATTCACCTCGAAGACAAAGCATGACAGTTTACGAGGCACCGGACACCGCAACACTCATGACAATGGGCGATCCAGTAACTACTGCTGAGGGAGGGAGGGAGGGAGCGGCCAGCAGCTCATCGGGATTATTAAATATGTGTGGCGACTGCTGCTGTACATCTACCTCGGAAACAGATACATGGACATGGCTTTGTTTCGTAACCTTCGATTCGCTCAATAAAAAATACCATGCGAGGGTGAATGATTCCAAAGGCTTCGGTGAGCAGTGATGGTTGACCGCCTCTGTGGATATTAGACTCGCCATCTCTCTCTCTGTGCGTGTGTGTGCTGTGCGTGCTATGCTGTGCTTGCTTTGCTGCATACGTTGTTGCATATATTTGTGTGGCCACTCGATGACATGGGGGAGGTGGAGGTGGGGGAGGAGGAGGAGTCCTTGCGCGGGTACATAACACAGACTCTGCCTCCCTCGCTCCACCTTCGAGCTGGCATGGCCGAGAGCTCTACCTGCGTGATTGGAAACGAAATGCTGCTCCAGAGAGTCCTCGCAGTCGAACACTTTGTCGCACGATTCGCACTTCTTCGACCCGACCTCGTTGGAGATGCGGATGTGCTCGCCGTCCTGGCGGTCGACCTGGTGAGCACGCAGGTTGGCCAGCGTTTCGAAGTCGACGCCACATTCTTCGCACACGAACTGCAGCACTTTCTGGGGCGGAATGACGGTCGTGGTCGTCTGAACGAACTCATCCACTCCCTCGGCGTGCTTCGCCTCCTTGTGCTTGTTCATGGCCTCCACATCGCGAAACAACCTCTCGCATCCGTAGATGCACTTGAGCCGCTGCGGCTCCACCTTGTGACTGTCGGCGCAGTGCTGGCTGTAAGCTGAGGACGTCTCGAACCGCCTCGAGCATTTTTCGCAGATAATCATCACCATCTTCGCGATTTGCTGAGAATTCCGGTGCCAGCAGCTGAATCCTCGCGCCCCTCGTGCTCCTGCACATGATGATGCACACAACCACATTTTTCCCACGCATGTCACACTTGGGCCTGCCTGCTGGTACAAATTTCCATGCATCTGCAGTGTTTAAGAATCGCTCTATCCCCGTGCCTGCCGGCGGTTCACGAGAGGATCAGATCGAATATTGACATTCGCTTGGCCGTCTCGAAATCTCGAGAAGCCCATAGCAAATCATCGAGCTCGTCAAGCTCCAGACATGCGACAGCTTCTCCACTGTCGGCGGAGTGTGAAATCCAGGGTTTCCTCGCAAGCCTGTCTGTCGGCAAGAATATATCTTCATGTCATGATGGACTTGTGAATCTCTGTGAGCACGTGAGAATGCGAACCCACGAGAGAAAAGACCGAAGAATTGGATCCGAGGTTCAATTTCCCGAGGTCGGGCTGTTGGAAATTGTGATCAGAACCGAAAGCAAACGTAGGGTCGCCGTCCGTCTGTCTGTCTGTCTGCCACCCTTGGGTCGGGTCCTCGTCTGGTCCATGGAATGGGTCGGACTAAGATCCTGAGCGATGAATGAGATTTACGCTCAAAATTGAAGAGCGGTTGACGTCAATCCCCGCGGATGCCTAATGCCTCAGGCTTCAGATTTGGATTTGGCCTACTTATTATGATGAAGCTCGCAGCTCGTAGCTCGCAGCAGCTGGTTGTCGTCGCCAGAGACAGACAGATTCGGTTTTAGAATGTGCACTCTTTCATGGAGCCAGTCCGAGTGAGACTTACCCTTGCAATTCTCGCAGGCCTAGTGTCTTACGGCTACTGGGTTGCGGCGATGTGAATGGCACCGGCAAATCTGCAAACTACAATGCAGGTTCTGGTAAGAAGCACACGTCGTGATCGATCGAACATATTGATGCTGGAGTTCTATAGAGGTGCAATGAGGATGAGGAATGTAAATCTTGCACATGTTGAGGGCACGTACGAATTGATCTGATCTGACCTGAAGGATCCACGAAGTAGAGTCCGGCCCGTCCGTCGTCCTTTCAGCAGTCGAGTCGTCGAGTCCTCAGAATTCACCGCCTCCGTTTCCTCCTCGTGATCATGAGCGATAGTAAATTGCAGGAACCGAGCCCTCCGAGAATTCGGTACACCGAGAATTATGTGAACGTGATCACATCAGTTACGATGAGTCTTTTCTTTTCTTTTCTACTGAATTCTCCTCTCCGAGTCTGGTCTTGAGCGACTGACCGGCTGCAGCTCACCACCGAGTTCCAGATGAGTTCCAGATGTAAGAATCAGCATGCACTGATTTATAATATCTGTCAGTGCTCGCTCCCCGCTCCCTTCCTCCCTTCCTCCCTCCCTTGCTTCCTTCCTCGCTTCCTCCCATTGCTGCCCCACATCATCCGATCGATCTCTCTTCCGTATCAAAGACCAAAGATTCTTCCCCCGTTACTTCTCGCCATTCTCTCTAACTGTTAAAGAATCTCGGAGAAAAGATACACGCGCCACTCTCCATTTCAGCGGATAAGCACTACGAGCTTTGGAGCCTAATCATGAACCGCCAATTTTGATCGAGCCAAATAGTATTAAAATAATCGATGCCAGCCAGCTATAGGGTTGCTGCTATGGAGCTTGGTGCAGCAGCTATACGAGCAACGAAGAGCTGGTGGGCTTTGACGAACGCGAGCCGGTTTACCTCGAATTCCACTTTATCCTGGCACCATCGCATCCAGCTGATTTGTGGGAAGGCGAATCAGAGTTTGCAGCAACCCTCTTCCTCCACAATTTGGATAGCGTAGTTCAGAGCGAGAGAGAGAGAGAGAGAGAGAGGGACAAGTCCACAGACGGGTCTGGGCAGGCAACCCACTCCATTTCTACAATTCTACATAGCGCACATCTGATTAATCAGCCATATCTGAGCTGATTTAAAATATAAGAAACTCAGCATCCGGTGTATTTCACCCACTGGGCTATGGCCGTGGTTTGTTTGGGTGTCCGCCAGAGGAGGAAACTCCAAGCAAGTAAGGGAGAACTGTGCGATGGGTTCAGCGTGAGCACGAGCGTGAGAATCACTCTGCGACAAAAAGAAAATTCACCGAAAGACGTCCCATGACACGTTCTGCTCACAAGTCTGCTTCTCGGAGTGCGAACAGTGCAATCGGGTTCCATGATCGGCTTTTGCTAGAACAGTTCAATGCTGTGAGCCTGCAGAATTATCCGTTCTTCATCCGCGTTCGCCCACGAAGAAACAAGCGGTAAATGTACGAGATTCGCCCATGATTCCTGTGGCCCGGACGGGCGGATCGGACCCACTGTGGCCTGGACCAATTTTCAATCACAACTGCGTTCCGGCCTGAAATCTGAAATCTGGCCCTGAACCGCAATCGGCCCAGGGCATCAAAGTCAAGTCGCGTCGCGTCTGTCCTTTAGCTCATTCGCATTCCGCGTTCCTTCGATTCACCCGCTTCTTGGAAGTATACTTGAGCCACCGTAAAAGTCCAGATAATGGGGAGTGAGCGAGTGAGCGAGGGTTCGTGTCGAGCATCGAGCAATTCCGACGATGGTTTCCGTCAGTTGACTTTTGACAGTCGACCCATCGAGATCGAGAGCAGCTTCTCTCTCGATCTGCTTCGCGCACTCCCTCGTAAACACGAAATGGAATGTTTCGTGTTTACAGCGCAAGTACCGCATCATTACAGTATTCCCTAACGCATTGTTCTCTTATAATTCTATTTTATGGATGGCACTAGCTCAAGCTCTATTATAATTCTATTTTATGGATGGCATTAGCTCAAGCTATGTAATGATTGTGTTATGCCATGGAATTACAGACCGTGACATATTGCACATGTCACCTTGGTACTCCCATCTTCATTCCTACCTCGGCTGAAATTAAGGTCCGCATCACTTCTTACACATTCAAAAATGAGTCAATATGTAGTCATGTTATGATATCAGGAAGTTGATGTTTTGCATGCTTAAATGTTAGTGCGCTTTACACTTAAATTTGGTCAAGAGTTGGGTATATTTGATTCAATAAGACTATGTTACTGTTGTCCAAATTGTGAATTTATTATCTACCAGAAATATTATTTTGGAGGGTACGATTTTTCATTTTCCAGGTTGGGTACCCCAAGGTTTTTTTTATAATGAAAATCGTAGAAGCCATCTATTTGTTTCTTTTTCGAATAGATTATATCTCTTTACGATCTTTGAAATCAAAAATTTTATACTCTTTATATTTCTATGTAGAGAGTAAGATAGTTTATCAATCTACATCATATGGATATCACTTTTTTAAGAATGTTGTTTAGTATATTCTATACAAAATGTCATTTTAGACCCCTTTGTAAAAAAATTACTACTTGTAAGATTAGAAAAAGTCTAGACACAATCTTTTTTATATATATGTAAAACTCTTTCCTTTGATCAATTTTCCGAGAAATATAATAAGTTGTTGAATTTCATGATATTTTTTGTGATAAACATTAACAAACATTTTTCAGATAATTTGATTTGAACAATTGCATACTTTTGAGTGATGAAATAAAATTTCAGAATTTGGCTTGCCGCTCTTGAAACCTCGCAAGTGGAGACAGGAAGCTTCCTGAAAATATTGATTCTTTGTCGAAAACTCAAATTGCTAAACTATCCTCTTGGTAGTTGTGAATTTGTTCCAGCAGTGCTTTAAAAGCAACAAAACCTATTCTTTTCCGAAGCATTGATCTCAAAACTATCTCTATCTTAAATCATTCATGACCATACAACTTCAGAAATATCTTCAAAGTCTGCCGCAATAGTTAAATATGTCAATGTATCTTTCTAAGTATATATATATACTCTCAACATTGTTTGTTCTCATATGATGTTTTGGGTTGTCCTTTACATCTGTTTGCATCGAATCTCAACAAGCAGGTTGCTTAACGTTAATCACAATAGTAATTTACTCGTAATAGTAATTCTCACAAGTAAAAGAAATAGAACTCTCATTCATAAATTGTTCATTCATATGGATGTTCTCACTAGTCTACTGACTCCAAAGCCTTCTAGCCACCAGACTTGAAAATCTGATCTTGTGCCATAACATTATGTTCAATATATTCAAACCTACAACCGTAAAAATGGATACTTAGATCATGCATCTCTATCAGATGCTTGTAAAACATTAATGAATATATTCTATTCATTAAATTGTACCATACACCTATAGATAGGGTGGGCATACTGTGCTGTATCATGGTAAATGGGGTGATCAGATTAAAGGTGTGAAAGGAAGCATTGTCTGTGATAAGAAATGTATCTGATTCTTTCTGACGTTCATTAAGTGTTATACATATGCAACAAGAATCTAGAAAAACCTCACGGCTGACTTATTTAAGCATTATAGAGAATTAGTTTCAATCAAAAGTTATCTGAGACCGGTGTAAAAAATCAAGCACCGTAGTCATAGCCCATGGCACTGAATTGGTTGCTAATCTGTCCAACTACTACACCATACTTGTGGCCGAAACTAATTTTAACTTCAAAAACTTTTTCCTCGATTAACATTCATGTTGAACAAAACTTTAACTTTTTTTGGTATCAACTATTTACACCTACAATCTCCTCATTGTCTTTGCTTACAAGAATCCTGTTGGTTTTGTACCTTACAATAGAAAGTATTCTTGTTTGAATCTAATTTTGTCACTTTATTCATGATGTTTCTTTGTATGTGCAGTATTCAAAGATGCTTGTCAGATCCTTGATTTTTTACTTTGATGAATATTCTCGTGGAAAAATTAAGAGCAATGCAACTGTTCCCTGAAACAATCTTTCATCGAATTTCACGTATATCGGACAATGCAATACCTTGAAAATTGAGAAAAATTTGAATGACGAATCTATTAGTTTTGGCTTCATGCAAGAAACTTCGATGCCTTACTGTAAAACTATACATTGGTACTATTTTTCTATTTTTCTATTTAATTGTCAAATATATTGCTCCAGCAAAGGATGCAGGTTCTTGTCAGTGTACGTTGATTTTGCTAAACGCCGCGTTTAAAAATTGCAACCTGAGAAAACTGAGGCTAAAATCTTGGCGTATTTTTCTTTTGAGGAGATTGTGGGATTTGGACTGATTGTGGCTTCTGAAAACTGTGGAGGTGATTCTTATTTTTTCTGTTGTTTGTTGATGGGTTTTTTATTCATTAGAACTTGATTGAGATGGTATCTATATATATTTTGGAATAGAAGTGTGTGTTTGCTACTAGTGAAATTTCATTCCTCTAGTAGTGTAATGTGTTCGATGCTTCTTCAGCTTGTCTTGGATATAATGTACATCCTAGATTCAAATGAAATCCAGAGTGTGGGCTGGAATAATTTCTTCCCAGTCGAAGGAAGTGCATGGCGTATGCTGTCAAATGTGTCCCAACGAAAAAATACAAACAAACATTCTCTAACCAATCAGGGTCTGACGCAACTCATGCTAGTGGCAAGAAACGATGACACATTCCCGTTATTCATGGACTTGAGTCAAACAAAATTCTCCCCATTGTCCATCTGAGTCAAGGAGAGAAACATCCACGAAAGCTCTATGAATGTGTGGGGGATAATAAAAAAATTCCTTCAAGTTCAGACATGATCAAGTTAGAAAAGTTAAACTTCCAAGGAGAGGGCATGCAGAACAAAAGCGAACCTGTGAACATGTGAAACCAACTACACCTGTGAAAAAAATTGAATGCTGGCAGTTGATTAGGCTCGCTCGTCCCTCGGATAGCTGGTCATCGGACTTGCTACCGCATTTGATTCTCCCATCTTAGCATGCTCTTCCTCAAAACAAAAGACACCTGAAACGAAAAATACACAACTTGATACAATCCCAATGATTACGCTTCAACTATTCTCTATTCTTTATCCCTTTCTTTCGTACTTTTTCCACAATATTCCACAATGAGTTTGGATTTGTGTCCAGCGGGGATACAGTTATCAGCCATGCTGCAGGATCTTATGATAAGCTTCAGATATGGAAAAGTACATGTGTCCCCTGGTCCCTTGGCTTAGTCCCTTGCTGGTGGCCGTCTTGACCCACCTCTCGTCCTCGTAATCAAATAAGCATGGATCCGACATTCTTTTCGAGCCAAAAACAGTAGATCAATGATCAATCCACGAGAGATGTGTGGATCAGAGCTATGGAGGATGTGGAAGTACAATTTCCGTAGTGAGCTAAAGGGTTCCATCGCCATGGAAAGCTGTGTTTGATCGCCGGCTAGTAACTTCAGTCGGACGTGTGGCCCCACGTGGTAAGAAATCTCGGTCGCTCCCTCGTCGTCGTTCGTAAGTTACTTCTACTACGCATGCGACATGGTTGGGCCTTGCACGCACAAATTCCTGCCTCACCGCGTGCTCATTCGGTTCATCCTAACGCACCTATCTGGGCCGCCGCCTACGCGGTTTGCAAAGTCCTACAAGAGTTCTGCTTTTTACTAATTAAGATAATAGGTCAAAATTTGCTCGCCTTTTCTTCCCTCCGTGTTTGGGTGACTTTTAGTAAAATTACGTATTAAAT